TCGTATTCTCGAACAATTCATTTATTTATAATGCGCAATGCGAGGTGAACTTTGATTTCACTGCTGTAGATAGTTAGCAGAAGTAGTTTTTGCTAAGAAAAATTTATATTCGTGGAAAAAAATGTGCTTCTTCGGATTGTATGAATCATTTTCCGATAATAATCATACAAAAAATATATATTAATTTTGGAAGGTAAATATAATTAATATAATATAAAATATAAATTAATCGAATCGTAGATTATTAGATAATATAAAATATAGATTATTTAGAGTTTCGATCATCCAGATTTTTCGATTATCGAGAGTTTCGATTATTCCATAGTATGTAGTAATTATAAAGTTTCTGAATTTCTGTGTAGAAATCAGTTATTGAAATATTGTTTAATTTTTATATTATATTGATTTGAATGTTTTCAATGGAACCAAAATAATATCTTTTCAAATTTTATTTTGAGAAAGAAAATAATTCACAGATGTCAATTTGAAGAATATGACAAGAAAAATTAAAAATTTGGTTAAATTTATTAGAACACATTAAAATATATTGAATATAATTATATTATCTCTTAAACTGTATTAAGCCATTTCTTATTCAACCAACCAACTGAGTCAATCAACTTCCAGTAGCTCAATAACATTTGTATAATTAAATATCATATAAAATATAATATCAATTAAATTGATTGTACAGAATTTGTCTATTTCCTATTCCCAATCGAGCAATTTATTAGTGTCAACGTAGTTGATCTTACAGTCACCTTGAATTGTATATATCAAAGTCAAGTTCTAATATAATCGTTTCTTTTTCAATTTTCTTTTTTTTATTTGAAATCGATTCAACTTGGTTAAATTTTCTGATCGTTCTATCAAGTCAGTAAGCAATTTTTAATCGATCGATCCAATCAATCAATTTCTAATTGTACATTTCATCTGATTGAAATTTAGTTTACATGAGCAATTTTTATCAAATTGTGATTTATTGACTTGATTGATTAATCAAAACTTGTTTAATGTAAATGTAATTTTATAAGTATTTTTAATCGATCTCTTATTGGGATCAAATATATACAGAATTAATTAATATAATCTTGAAACAACTTTGGAAGATCAATTCTGGAGATCGAAACAAATATAAAAATTGATATATAAAAATTTTAATTAAGAGTTATTTAGTTATAAATGATTTGAATTTGCTTTAGATAAGCGAGACGAGAACAGCCTTATTCTATTTTTATATAGATTTTTGTATATCAACTTTTGTGTTTATTTTCGTTTATGAAATGAATTCTTTAAAAATGTATCATGAATTTATTAACAAAACATATTATTATACAAGAAAATTTTTTAAAATAATTCATTTAAAATGAATCTAGGACTATTAGAAAATGAAATTTTTTAAAGCAAATATTTGATTAGTAAAATTTTTTGATAGAATCGAAATTTCATCCTATAGATATAGTTTGTTATTAGATATAGTTTGCTTGAGATTATATAGTTAAATTTTATAATTATAAAATATTTATTTTTATCTCAATTGAAATATAATAATTTAAACTAAAGCTAAATAAGAAACATTAAAAATAATTTTCTGTAATTAATTTTTTTATTTTTTCTTTTTAAATAAAAGTACACTTTGATTATCGTTCTATAATTTCTATTGTTTATAATAATCCATGTGTATGTTAATGTCGATCAATATTTAACCTTTTGTGCTTCAATATTTAGAATGATTATTAACCAATAACATCGATTTATTTCTGACATATTCTATCTATCTATCTATTTATTCTAATATGTTCTATCTTCAATGTATGTAGCAGATGTTAATTGTTTTATTTTAACAAAATTTTATTGAGATTTATTTATATATTATTTATATATTTATTTTTAGTTTAATGTATTACTTAATTTTATATTTTATATATAAAAATTTTATATTATTAACATTTTTTTAATTAAATTCTAAATTTGCTCATTTAAATTATAAATATCATTTTGTACATTCAAACTAATAAATTTATAATATAATAATAATATAATGAAAATAAAAATTAAAAAGATAAAAAGAAATTAGAAAAGGAAGAAAATTAAAAAGATAAAAAATTAAAACTTAAAAGTTCTTAAAATTAATTTTAGAATTATTTTTTGCATGTAAAATCTGAAAAATTAAACATATATAATTTTTTTGCAATTAAAAAATGCCCATATAATTTTTGTACTTTATTGATAAGTCTTTTGGCTTTCAACTTTTAAACATTTTACTTTCTCTTGTCATTGATTGATTGATTTGTCGGTACTTTGAGAAGGCAAGAATATGATCATATTAAATCCGAAGCAAGAGAAATCGTGCAGTTTTGAAAGCATTGATTGATTCGTGAATGACTATGTAGTGCATTTAATATACGATTTCGTTAATGATGTATTTTTATTTATTCGGATGAAAATACTGATGATTATATGGAAGTTTTATTCATAGTTTGTGTGGTGATTAATGAATATTACGTTTTGCATTTGCGTGAATCGAAATAAATTATATTTTTTAAGATTTATTTTATGAGTTAGTTCATTAAAATCATTTTTCGTTATTAAATTCAATTTGCATTATAATGAAATTTAAAATGATCTTAAAAATAAAGAATTAAAATAATAAAAAAGAAATAAAATGATAATTTATATTTAAATATTCGTATTGACAAAAAATTAATATTCGAATTTACTTTGAAACGAGATTTGAAGATTTTCAATATTATATAAATTCAAAATAATATATGATATGATTTAAAAATATTATAAAAATATTACGATTAAAAATTCTAGACATTTGAATTTTGATAGAGCTTAAATTTTGAAAGTATTGATGTTTCGAAAATTTTAATAGATTTCAGAATCTCGAAAGTTTTTAATGATCTACATAAACTAACTTAACTTAACCTCGCTAATTTACACTCGCTAAAACATATGACGCACATATTGAATCATAGATTTTATGATGGAAGTTATGTATATATATATATATATATAAGTGTATATATAAATGCACGCGAGCGCGTGTGTGTAAGTATATTGCAATATATGATTGATGATTAGAAATTTCAGTAACTTACATCAATACAAGAATATATATCATGAATAAGATGAATAAGAATTGACATATGTTTTATTAGAAAATATGCTTTAAAAAAATTAAAAATTAGTGTATTAAAATAATATAATTTTAATAAGATATTAAATCTTTTGTTTTTATTTAAATAATATTGACTTAAAATAATAGAGAAAATTTTATTTATGTTATTCGCTTTTATAATTTATAAAAATATAAAAAATATTATACATTTTTTTTAATATTAAAAATATTATACATTAGTTCGCATATATATATAATGTAATATGCGAGATTTTAAGAGTTGATTATCAATAAATAATAAAGAAACTTTTTCATATAAACTAATTTGTTCAAAATAAATGATATAAATCAAAAATTATAATTTTTTAATTATTAATAGAAAGAAATTTAAAAATTTAGAATAATCTTTTTCTATATCTTTTATTGAATAAAGTTTTACAAATTAATTTTTAAATAGCTTTCAATTTGGAACTTCATGTACTCTTACAAGAATTGAAAATTATCGTTTTTTTTAAATCATAATTTTTACGTTATATCATTATTTATTATTTTTTATAATTGAATTGTATATGTATGTATGTATATGTATGTATATTAGCATTTTTTAACTTATAAGTCATAACCCAATATTGAGCATTAAATTTTTAATAGACTATAAAATAAGACTATCCAAATTATTTATTTGTCTGTTTTAAAGTGCTTAAAATATTTTCAAGCATTCAAACGTGCAATTTTATTTATTTTTATAATATATACATAATTCCAGATCTACTTGATTTTTTTAAATTTTTGTATTATAAAACTTTGAAGCACAAGACAGAAAAGTTGAGAATACAATTATTGTTCAATATGATTTATTTCGAAACGATATTT